GGCATACCGGTACGCTTATATCCTTCGAGAGGACCTCGCTTGATTCCCAGTGCGACCATACAATTTTAAGGATAATACGACAAAACGTGCATCGCCGTTCGGCGAACATTTCGATCGTTCCTAAAGATAAGTTGCCGAGTGGAGTTTTAAGCTAGTGATCGTATCGGAATAACCTGCCCTCCAACGATTTCATCGAATTTCCAACGTAATATTTAATTTCTTCTTAGGAACTTAATGAATTCCTAAATCGTTCCAGGAAAACTCTTCGTTCGTGTTTCTCTTTTTCTCTCTCCCTTTCTCTTTTTACATATATATATATATATATATATATATATATATATATATATATATATACTTCTCTAATAAACATACTTGATGATTGAAATAAAAATTGAACAATTATTTATATATGTGTATATATATAATATATATAATATATAATATATAAATATATATATATAATATATATAATATATAAATATATATATATATAATATATATAATATATAAATATATATATATATATATAATATATATATATATGCATATGTACGCACACGTAAAATTACATTATAACAAACAAACGAAAATTCTTCATTTAATTTCACGCGCGCAGGACTTTATAACGGCGATTCCAACGTGGCGTAGAATTTGCATACACAATGGAGAATCCCAGGGGATGAGAAGGAGGGCCGAGGAACAATCGATGAGAACGGTCGAGCTTATGCTATCTCTCCCTCGAAGCTTAAACCGCGAAAATTTGGCGCGGTGAATGCATTTTCGAAAATGCCAGTAATCTACTACCGCATACGGAAATTCTGTACGCTCTGATGGCCGCATAAACGCGAAGAACGAACCATGGACTATTCGTTATCCAAACGATTTCTGCGGGAATACGGAGTACGATCGTTTGATGTTAGCCTTTCATACGTATTAAATTCATACGATATGTATACATATGTCATATCGGTAATAAAATATACATTAAATATTGTTTATCGTTATAACATTTTATTGAAATTTTGGAAGAAAAAAAGAAAAAAGAAAAAAAAAGAGTCATAAATATTTCTAACGAGGTAGAAGAAAATTACTGACAAATGTTTGATCCAAATATTATATCTTAGGGGCGGTTATTAATTTTGCAATTTACGTAGAAATGATAGACGGACGTAGTACGAAACGATAGCTCCAATTTCCTATCGGCCATAAATTCTTTAAAATCTATACATTAATACCAAGAGGAGGTATGGGAAAAAGCTATTTAATTAAACGAATGAACATTGGTAGTGCAGGTATATATATATATATATATATATATATATATATATAAATTATTAATGTTCTATTATTTTTCCATTGTTCATTTAATAATTACGTCCCACAAAATGCTCGATCCAAAGAAAAAACTTATTTGTTAATTAACAAAAGAAACGCTTGTCGATATGTATATTAAATAAATAGAAAAATAAATCGATAAATTTCATCGAGAACGAAATACTTCAAGTACGTCGCCGTCATCGTCGTAGTTTTCGTCGCTGAGAGAAGAACGGTAAGCTCTTAATCCTTTAGCTCGAGTTTTTCGCTTTACCTACGTTTCGTTGGATTTTCTCGCGTCAAGCTATCTGAGAGTTTAATACTTTTGAGCTTGAAATACGCAACGAAATATTTCCCTCGCCCCTCCCCCAACTGGCAATGAAAATGTGCATGGACATAACATTAATAAATTAATCTTCAACTAATTTGTGTGAAGTAATCAGAATGTCCGTAAAGATATAGAATAATAGAAATATAAAAGGAAACATTCACGTCTCTCGAGAGTTAACGTTAAACAGGCCGTCATCCATCAAATGAAATATAATCGCCTGTTCATGAGTTTCATCGGTCAAAGAAGTTATCTCGGGTCCAATCCTAATTGAAAATTCAGAGGGGAAGAATTCTCGCTTGGTCTCGAGAAATTGTCCGACCATTCAGGAAAATAATTTTTCTCGTGGATTCGTTAAACGAGTTTCGCTTAAGTACACGAGAGCTTGGCAGATTAATAGAAGGAGAGGAATGAGAAAGAGAGAGAGAGAGAGAGAGAGAGAGAGAATGAGCGACACAAAACGTTCGTCAACGTCGAAAGTAATAGTCCCTGTTCGAAGGCCATTCTCTTTCTATAACCGAAACTGATAACGACTCTCTAACGTCGTTAGAAAGTGTACTTCCAACAAAGCCTACCTTTAATATCCAACCGCTCGAGCTTAAATTCAATATTCCAATTGCTAAAATCACTAGAGTCTCTTTTAAGCCTGACAATGAATACCCTAATCGCTACTTACGTACCATGTCGATCGTTTCAACGAATGATACGACTTTCTTCGTTCTTATCGGTGAACAGTTTTCAAGATCGTAAAATGTTAAATGAAAAATAAAATCTCTACGTACAGAAAAACAAATTTTGTCGAATTAATTAAATCAACAATCAATCGACTCTAGCATTTTCTAAATAAAAAAAACATAC